CTATTTATGGAAATGGGTCTGTAGATTAACATTTTCATAGAATTACCTAGCAACCAGGATGGACCAAAATGGACAAGCAATGAAAAATTCAGACGGGTACAGAATTCCGCATCCTGGGGGGTCAGTTTAGGCATTCAGCTGAATGAGGTGGTAAAGCTTTGCTAAACCCTGCCACTTTAGGGGGCAGGTGGTGAAAATAGAAAGCAAGCATGTCAGGGAGAAGGGTTCCCTGTAACCACCCTAATCACACGGGAGCATGGATCCTAGAGAGCTCTTTGCCGCTTCCTGTTAAAAACAGTAAACTTAAAGATGTTCAACAGTGTGTAGTTTTACTTTATATGGAACTAGGATCAGATGGAAAATGAGGGGACTTAGGGTTAACTTAAACTGGATTTGGGGCAGGCAGGATCTGGGTTGGTAATGAATTAAGGGATGATCTAGGTAGGATTTTTATTTGAAGAAATGAATTAATGTAAGATAATTTATTTAGAGGTGATTGGTCATAATTATGCGCCCCCTTGCCCAGATTATCCGGAGCTTTGTGCTGGGCTGTCACCAATATGCTGATGACACTCAGCTCTATCTGCTGATGGATGGCCACACAGACTCGGCCTCGGACACACTGACCAGATGCTTGGAAGCTGTGGCTGGATGGTTTCGTGGGAGCCGATTGAAACTAAATCCTTCGAAGACAGAGGTCCTATGACAGGGTCGGGATGGCATGGGGATGAGGGACCAACTCCCTTCTCTTGCGGGGGCCCAATTAGTGCCATTGCCTTCCGTTAAGAGTTTGGGTGTAATCCTTGACGCCTCCCTTTCCATGGAGGCGCAAGTTACAGCAACAGCCAAGGCGACATTTTTCCACCTTCGCCGCATCAAGCAGTTGGTCCCTTACCTTTCCCGCCCCGACCTGGCCACAGTGATCCATGCGACGGTCATCTCCAGGCTTGACTACTGTAATTCGCTCTACGTGTGGCTGCCCTTGAAGCTGTCCCAGAAACTCCAGCGGGTGCAGAATGCTGCAGCGAGGCTCCTCACGGGGTCTCTGCCATGGGAGCAAATACACCCAGTGCTTTCCAGCTGCACTGGCTCCCGGTGGAGTACAGGGTCATATTTCAGGTGCTGCTTTTGACCTTTAAAGCCCTTCACGGCCTAGGACCCTCGTACCTATGGGACCGCCTCTCCTGGTATGCCCCACAGAGGACCTTAAGGTCCATAAATAGCAACACCCTAGAGGTCCCGAGCCCTAAGGAAGTTAGATTAGCCTCAACCAGAGCCAGGGCCTTCTCAACACTGGCTCCCGCCTGGTGGAACGCTCTGCCTCATGAGACCAGGGCCCTGCAGGATCTGATTTGTTTCCGCAGGGCCTGTAAGACAGAGTTGTTCCGCCTGGCCTTTGGCTTGGAGCCAATTTGATTCCCTCCCTCCCTCTCTTTCTTTTTTCTTTTCCTTCTCCTCCTGCGATGAGGCTACATTTTAATATTTTAATGTTTCAATATTTTAATGTTGTCTTTTATTTTTGTTTTTAAGTTGTAATCATTCTTCTTGTTTTTATTATTGCTTGTAAGCCGCTCTGAGCCCGGCCTTGGCTGGGGAGGGCGGGGTATAAATAAAAAATTATTATTATTATTATTATTATTATTATTATTATTATTATTATTAAAGAAAGGAGAAGTTATTCTGAGCTTGGGGATAGTTTAGTGTTTTTTTTTTGTATAATCGGCCCACCCCCCACATTTCCCCTGCCCCAGGGGTGGTGGAAAATCTTCCTTCGTCTTCCTACTCAGTTGCAGCTTCAAGTTTTCAGACTGAAAAAAGACTGAAGTTGCTTCTTGAACATTCAGCTTGCTGCAGCAGACTGCAACCGATCTCCAGTTGAAACCTGTGTTATCTTTGTTGGCAACTCTGTGGTGGAAACTCCCATAAAACTCCCATAGATCACTCTCGCAAAATTGTCTTTTGGTAGAATGAATGGCTACCATAGAATCATAGAGTTGGAAGAGACCACAAGGGCCATCGAGTCCAACCCCCTGCCAAGCAGGAAACACCATCAGAGCACTACCAGATCCAGAGAACTACCATAAAACTATAGACTACACTACACCGTCATTCCCTAGTTTGAGAGAGGCTGGGCTTTTCCAAAACTATTCTGTGGAGACAACTAATTATTAAAAACAACACAAACAAATGTGTGCATCTCAGCAGATATGTACGATAAATGTTCATTGCATTTTTCAAAAAGGCTACGGTTTTCTGCTGTAGCACAAAGTAAAGTTGGAGGAACCCCGGAAGCTATTTTCTTCAGCATTAATTTAGTTCAGGCCTGAACTTGTATTTGAAACAAATATTTGTGAATTAAAGTTGGGGGATATGAAATAGTTAACAGAGTAGCAGTCTATAAAATATATAAATTTGTGCTGGATTCAACTGCTGCTCCTGTTGGCTTCTACACTTGGGGGGGGAGCCATTTTGTCAAACAGCTTCTTGGGCTGGCCTGCATAGGAGGGAGGGCTAGACTTTGAGTCCATTTCCAACTCGGAGATAGTTTTGAGGAAGTTTATTTATCTATACAGAACCTGGATGAATAGACCTGTTGTTGGAGGTATTGGAGTGGGGGAGAGAAGGGAAAGGAAAACCGACAGCAGTCTTCATGTTGTGTGAGAGACCCTGATCCTTCATATACATCAAAAGCAAGTCCCATTGCTTTCAGTGGGGCTTAATTAGGGGTTGTTTCCAACAGCATTTCTTCCTTGATGCATTAATGAATTTTCACAGCATCTCCTCACCACCAGGACCTCAGGATGAAAAGTAACTGCTCCACCCAGTATCCTGTCTCCAAAATGACCTGTGTAATATAAACACAGCTAAGTGGCATTGAGAAATATGAGTGTTTGTTTCCTCATCAGCCTGGGGCCTAGATATTAAAAAACGTGGTTTCTTTGTTTTGTTTTGTTCTTCATTACAGGGAAAGACAGTAACAGTGTTATAATGTCCTTTCTTGTGTTTTATATAAGCCAAGGAATGAGAAGCTTTTGCCTAAATAGCTATTTGAGATTGCAAGGGTTCCCTCTGGTGGCATTTTGGATTAAGTTGTAGAACATTTGCTATCATAGCCTCCAGGAATCCAGGCAAGGATTGCTCATCTAATTTTTATTTTGGAAAGGGGAAGGGTTGTTCTGGGAAGACATCCTCAATGTTCCACTTGAATAGGGGAGAACTCTTCTTGCTTCCTCTGACCTTGGGGTGCTCAGTGCAAAAAATGATGCTGGCTACCACCCCAAGAACACTGTTGTTGTTGTTTAGTCGTGTCCGACTCTTTGTGACCCCATGGACCAGAGCATGCCAGGCACCCCTGTCTTCCACTGCCTCCTGCAGTTTGGTCAAACTCATGCTGGTAGCTTTGAGAACACTATCCAACCATCTCGTCCTCTGTCATCCACTTCTCTTTCCCAACATCAGGGTCTTTTCCAGGGAGTCTTCTCTTCTCATGAGGTGGCCAAAGTATTGGAGCCTGTGCTGGTCCCGGGTGGAGGTTACCGTGAGGCATGGTCAGAGTCCGGTCCTGGGTCGAGGGTCTGGGGACTGTCCACCAAGGGCGAAGTGGGGTCCAAAGCGAGGAGCCGGGCAAGGTCGGGAACTCTGGAAGAACAGGTCTTGGTGCTGGCAGAAACAGGTTTCCAACAACGTTGCTCCCGCAACCTGGGACTGGGTTGACTGGCCTTTATCTCCTCTGAGGCCAGGGGCGGTTCCGCCCACAGGTGACTTGCCTCTCCTGGCCTTAAGGCGAGCACTCCTCCTGAGAGAACCCAGTTCCCTCCGCCTCTCTGCCCTGAGCCTCTGCAGCTCAGGACCCAGGGGGAGGCTCACCTTCCCCTGACAGGGCTGGGCGAGGCGCACCTGTAGGCAATGGGTCCTCAATCACCTCTGGAGCCAGAGTGGATTCCCCTGGTACCTGCTCCTGAGGATCCGGCACAAGTGCAGGCGCTTCAGCTTCAAGGCCCTGCCCTGGCTCAGCCGGCCCTGGAGGCGGGGACTCCTGTGCAGGCTGGGATTCCTCCGGTTCAGCCTCTGAATCAGATTCCCAGGCCATCACAGAGCCTCAGCTTCAGGCTCTGTCCTTCCAGTGAGCACTCAGGGCTGATTTCCTTCAGAATGGATGCATTTGATCTTCTTGCAGTCCATGGGACTCTCAAGAGTCTCCTCCAGCACCAGAATTCAAAAGCATCCATTCTTTGGTGATCACTGCCTGGCCCCAAAGGCACTGTCTTCTGTGCACTGTTGAAATGCCCAATCTGATTCGTGCAATAGTAGCCTAGACTCTCTCCAAATTGTTGTGTTATTGGTTGGAATAAAAACAAATAGCAATTTACCAGAGAACCAGAATTCAAGAGTTTAAAAGAAAAAGTGGGATAGGGTTTTTTGTTGGTGTGAGAAAGCTATTTTTTAAAAAGGGGAGAGGAAATTGGGCATCCCCCCTGGAAGAGGGCAACATACCTAGTTTCAATTTGATCCAGGAATGCTCCTTCGCTACTCCTCTTTGACCCCCGTTCCTGTTTTTGATAGATAACTTGTGGTTGGTCTCACCCTCATGCTTATCTTGAGCAGTCAAAAGTGCATATGCCTTATCTCTGTTATACAGAAAAGGCGGAAAGAAGTAGTGAATTCTTTGTAAAGCTCAGGCATCGTCCTAAATGCTGCTACCCGCATCCTCTCGTGTTCTTTTTGCGCAGACCCAGGTGAAGGACTTTACTCCCCCTCCCCAGGTATGTACCCAGTTCCATCCCTGGCTTCTGACGGCTTGCCCTCCTGGCTGCCCTCTCTCCTCCTGCCATTTGCTGCTGGGTTGGCTGAACAGCTGGAATGTTGCAGAGGGCAAGTGCAGGCAATGATTACGGGAACTGAAACTCTTCATATTGTGTGAGCAGCTGCCCATCTCACAGCCTTTTTCATTCCACATTTGCACCTGATGTTGTACCCAAAGCACTCTTCTGTCTTGGCAGAACGATCCAGGCAACAGGAAGACCAACTGAGGAAGTGAAGAGCACAGAGAGCCATTGATACATGTCTGCTTGAGGAGGCAACTGGCAAATTAAACTGAAAAGAAGTTGTCTTATTGGTTGACGTTACAAGTAAGTTGTTGGAAAGGGAAGGCTTCCTAAATTATAAGGGGAAATGTACTTTGTAGGCCTTGCTAATGGAACAGGATTGAGAGTCTGTGAGAGCAGGGCTGGCCCATCCATGAGGCAAGGTGAGGCAACTGTCTCGGGTGGCAGGATCCACAGGGGAAGCAGATCCGCCCTCCAAGGAATGCATTGCCCACCACTGCAGTAGTAACAGCAGCTGCAGAGCATTCCTCGGAGGCTGGATCTGCCACCTCCTCAGCCCCCACCCCAGGCCTCCTCCACAGAGGCCTCTTAGCACATAGACAGTGCTGCTCGTCTCTTCCCACCCCTAGGGAAGAAATGGTGGGGGAAGCCCCATGGGTCTGCATCTGCCCAGCATGATCCAGAGTGGACCTCTTCCTTCCCCCACGACAATCTCTGATTCCCAGCTCAGCCATTGAGTAAGTTTGATTCGATTCCCCCCTTGTTCCTGATGCAGATCTTCATTCACCCCTTCTTACCTGGTGGGGGGCACAATTTTGTGGTTTGCCTTAGGTGTCAAAATGTCTTGGGCCAGCCTTTAATCTAAGAGAACATATTGGGCACAATCCTGCTATGATCAAAACATTTAACTGAGGAAACAGTGCTAAACACCCTTATTAGAAGGGAAGCCTCTGGCCAGTGACAGGTCTTTTGTCCCTTGACGCTGGCATGGCAGGGCAGCTGTCAGTTGGAGCACAAGGATCGTCCTGGCAGCGAGAGGCAAAGCAGAAATCTCTGCAGCTTCCCCTTCTCTGGCCAACGTTTATGTATATCTGATGTTTAAAGTTTTATTATTATTATTGTTGTTGTTGTTGTTGTTGTTGTTGTTTATTAATGCATCGCTTACACAAGAGCCTCTTGGCAATTTGCCATTAAACACAAAACATGCCGGTATCACAATGCTGTTTTTTTAAAATGCATAAATTAAACATCACAATCTAACGTCCAGCTCTTGTAGCCATAGATTTGTTGTCCCTCTGTGCACTATTATGATGTAATCTTTAAAGGTGTTAAGAAGTATCCTGTGCAATTAACTTTGCTAGGGTTGAAAGAATGCAGCTCTTTAAACAATTAGACCATCTGTATAGGAAATGCTAGCAGCAATTCTGTGATAGCGTAGAGGATAATGGGGAGAGAAACAAGCTTCTAGTAACCTTTCTTCTTCTTCCCCCACCCCTCCCTCTTTCACGAAGGTTTTACCATGTTTGGGACTGTGGTCGTTGGGATTGGGATTGCAGGATCTGTGCGGATCAGGGACTTGCTGAATCCTTTGCCTTCCAGTCCTGCTGAGCATCTCAGACTGTTGGGCTTTGTGTCTAGGTGAGAGGCTTCATTATGTGGCTTAAGGAAAAAAAGTCTAATGAGACTAATTTATACCTTGTAAAAACAATTATGCTTGATGGCACCTTGAAGCTAACTTTTGATAAGCCTTTTTTATTCTTTCGAAAAATGGGCATGATGTCTCATAGGTAATAATCTACTTCTTCAGATGCTGAGTAGGAACTTAATATTCTAATGAGCTTGGATCCCAAGATTTAGAGCGCTGTACATCTCAAGTTGTCCCCCACTGAGGCTCTTTTCAGTATTCCCTTTTTGTCAGAGGTAAAATGAGTGATAACTGGAGAGAATTCCTCTTTGGTTGTGGTGCCCCATTTACTTATCTGGCTCCAACACTGTTTTCTTTCAGGCACCAGATGAAAACATCTTAATTCTATCATCTTTTTAAGTTTCTGGCATTTTAAAATATTCCCCATGGAATTGGATTATCTATAATCTGTTTTTATTATGCTTTTTTATTATTGTTGTGACATTTTAATTGAGTAAAAAGCTCCCAAAGCAATTTTGTTCCTTCCTTCTGCACTTTTGTGCCACATAAGTGCTGTTCATGGTAGGTATGTTCTCATTCATTTTTGTTTCTGCTAAAACTAGGAGACCTCTAGGTGATGTTCAGAAAGTCAAGCAGATAAGTCTACAAGAAGCTGTGGACAGCAAGGAGGTCACTGCTGCCATCGTCTGTACAGATAACCAGAACCACAGTGAGACTGTCAGGTATTGCCTTCCCAATTCTCTAGTATAAAAACGACGTTAGAATGTCGGTTCCCCTTTATTCGAGAGAGTATGTTGACCAGAATGACTTTCAGCAAAACTCTCACTTTACAGTTGCTATTTAGGCATTATCCTTCTCATCAGTTGACGATGGTTCATGCGAGTTTAAACGGTATATTTTCTTACCTTCCAAAAACGTGGGTGGGATAGGAACATAGGAAACAGCCTTACACCAGGTTAGACCATTGGTCTATCAAGCTCAGCTTTGTCCATACAGACCGGCTGTGGCTCTTCAGAATTTCAGACAGAAAGCATCAAGAAGAACTTTATGGCAATAAGAGCCATTTGACAGAGGAACGGATTCCCTCCCTCACTGGAGGTTTTTAAGTAGAGGTTGGATGGCCATCTGCCAGGGATGCTTTAGCTAAGGTTCCTGCGTTGCAGGGAGTTGCTCTCGGTGACTCTTGCGAACCCGTCCAACTCTACAATACGACGATTCTCTTCCCAGCTCTTCCTGGAGACGTCAGGGATTGAACTTGGGAACTTCTGCAGGCAAAGCAGCTGCTCTAGCACTGCTCTCTGGCTCCCCTGAGCCTCGGCTCTTTCCTGGTCGCCACTTAATGTGTGTGTGTTTCATCTAGAAAGGCAACAATATAAATGCGCAGCTTATGCAAAGTGCTTGTATGGATGCTAGAATGTAAAAAGGTATGGAGAAAATTGTCCTTAGCGCCTAGAAATGCTTCTGATATCCATGAAAGCTTGCGTCAAACTGTAAACTAGTTTGACTTTGGCTGCAACTGTAATTGCTGCACCAAAAGAACAGTGAGAATTGTAGTTTGCACGGCTGCTGGGCTGGGTGGATTTGATTTAAATCACTAGTCAGTAAGACTTGATTTAAATCATTATTTTTTTTACAGAAAGACTCATTCTTGCTAGTATAATCTTAATATTTACAACCAGATGAAGGTTTCATTTTTGGAATAATAAATTTTCAGAGTAGTTTTTACAGTTATATTAAAAATGGCTGATTTGGTTGTACTATTAGAAATACATAGACAGATAATTATGAAATTATTGTGAGGTTTAATAAGTTAACTGTTTCTATTTGGACAACTTTTCTGCTGTACTTTATTGGAAGGAGAAAAATAATCATTTCCTTAATAACAATTTAAACAATTTATTTAACTAAAACAATAACATTATAGCATATGCATCCATGTTTGTTAACTGATGTGGTTAAACATTTTTTTTAAAAAACACACTAGACTGAGTTTTAGCACACATGAAAAACTTACAACAAATCCTTATTTCCTGATGAATAGCCTTTGGACTATAATGTAACTTAAATAGAAAACTATCCTTAGAAAGTTTTTTCCTCCAAAAGCATTTTATTTTAAAATTTTGATTTTTTTGGATTATTTTTAAATCATTTATTTTTATCCACCCTGCTGCTGGGAATAATTTGGAAAGGTGCTCTGAGCTTCTGAAAGTGCAAGATGCATAAGTGTAACGCATTTCATTTTCTCCTTTGTAAGGATGTTCCTGGAGGCTGGGAAACATGTCCTTGTCGAGTACCCTTTGGCGCTGTCTGCAAAGGAAGCACATGAGCTGTGGGAGTTGGCAGAGCAGAAAGGTATCATGCAAAACCAAGGCTGTGCTTGTTTAAAACAGTGTGTGGCACCATGGCTCTGCTGCTCCTTTGTCATTTAAAGTGTGTGTCGCAGGGCAGCACAGCTGCAAAGGTATCCTGTCCTGTATGGATAGTTATGCAGAAAGAAGAATAATGACAAGTACTGCTGCTTCTTCTACTACTGCAGCATCACAATGGGAGAAATTATATATGTCAAAGTTCTCCTTTCTTCTAAACTATTAGAGACAAAGGAACTCTGCCCTGGTCCCTCCAAATTAACAGAATGGGGGTGGGGGGACATCTCAGATGAGGAACAGGTGTGGTACAAAATGGAAAACTATGGAACGCTGTGCTGTGCTGCAAGAAGTTTGTGCTCTTGGACAGAGACAACCACTTTACTGCTTCAGTTTCTAAGAAAGGTATAAAGTATGTGTCACCTGGGGTCCAACCCTACCATTAGGCAAAATGAGGCAACTGCCTCAGGCAACAGACGTTGAGAGGCAATCGCAGCACCTTTCTCAACGTTTCTTCAGTGTTCCCTTCTGTTGGAGAATATACTACTACTACTACCACTACTACTGTACTACTACTAATAACAACAACAATAATAATAATAGTACCCCGCACATCTGACTGGGTTTCCCCAGTCATTCTGGGAGGCTTCCAACATATATAAAAACATAACAAAACATTACACACCAAAAGGCTTCCCTATGCAGGACTGCCTTCAGATGTCTTCTAAAAGCTGTGTAGTTCTTTATCTCCTTGACATCTGATGTGAGGTCATTCCACAGGGTGGGTGCCACTACCACGAAGGCCCTCTGCCTGCTTCCCTGTAGCTTCACTTCTCACAATGAGGGAACCGCCAGAAGGGCCTCTGTGCTGGATCTCAGTTTCTGGGCTGAACGATGGAGGTGGAGACGCTCCTTCAGGTATATAGGGATGAGGCCATTTAGGGCTTTAAAGGTCAGCACCAACAATTCGAATTGTGCTCAGAAACATACTGGGAGCCAATCTAGGTCTTTCAGAACGGTGGTATATGGTCCCAGTGGCCACTCCCAGTCACCAGTCTGGCAGCTGCATTCTGGATTAGTTGTACTTTCTGAGTCACTTTCAAAGGTAGATCAAGCAGTAGTCCAAGCATGAGATAACCAGCACATGTACCACTCTGGTGAGACACTGTGCAGGCAGGTAGGGTCTCAGCCGATGTACCAGATGGAGCTGGAAGACAGCCGCCCTGGACCTGTGCCTCCATAGACAGCTGTGAGGCCAAAATGGCTCCCAGGCTGTGTGCACCTCGTCCTTCAGGGGCACAGTTACTGCATTCAGGATGACGAAGTACCTCACACCTGTCCACCCCACCCCACCCCCCTGTTGCCCAGAAACAGTATTTCTGTCTTGTTGGGATTCAACCTAAATCTGTTAGCTGCCATCCATCCTTTCAACGGCCTTCAAGATGTTCACTGCCTTCACTGGTTCCGATTTAAATGAGAAGTAGAGCTGAGTATCATCCACATACCAGTGAACACCCAGCCCAAATCCCCTGATGACCACACCTACTGGCTTCACATAAGATAATTAAGATAATTTCTTATTTATACCCTGCCCATCTGGCTGGGTTTCCCCAGCCACTCTGGGTGGCTCCCAATCAAATATTAAAAACACAATATAGATGCTGACAAGTTTTGTGCACCACATGGCCTGTCCTGACCCGCCCCCCCCCCAAAAAAGCTAGCCTTCTGCAACAGAGGATGCTATCCCATTGCAGTAAGGTACTGCATGTGGAATTTGGAGGAGTGGGTGTAGCACCACCTTGTACTTCATATAAGGCTGCAAAATGTCTTGGGTTGCCCCTGATTTCACCTTTCCTAGGGGAAAAAAGCAGGGGGAAATTCCTTAGTTCATTCTCTTTTGTTACTGATTTTTATTATTTATTAAATTTGTATACTACCCTTCATCTGAAGTTGCTTAATTGTTGTTTTCTGTTTTTAGCCATTTTTATCCGTAGGATGCCTTAAGTCCTACTAGGGAAAAAGGCAGGATATGTATGTATGTATGTATGTACGTACAAACAAACAAACAAACAAACAAATAGTGCAGCCAAGAAATGGAATGCGTAGCTGCTTCCTTGGTGTAGGGTTCCCAGCTAAATTACTCAAGGGGAGATTTTATGACTTTACTAGCTATGTGGTAAGAAGGTGCTCAAGGCGCATAGCTTCTCTCACACTCTTGTAGAAGACTGGGCACTGACAACCATGCATTTGAACCTGATGCCATTCCCAACTGTTGATCATTAAATCTCATTTGTCTCCATGGCAGGCAAAATCCTCCACGTGGAACATATTGAACTCCTGACTGAGGAGTACAAGCAGCTGAAGAAAGAGGTGGCAGGGAAGGAGCTTGTGAAGGGAACCTTGCACTTCACAGGTCAGTTGTTGGAGACTGTCTAATGCAGTCTGACCTGCTTTGCAGCAGCCGGTGCTTCAGACGTCATCAACCCACCCATTTCTGGAAGGAATAAACGTGGACCAGGCCTAGATTCTTAGCCAGTTTAACCAAAGATTCTAGGCCTACCTCTTTGCTGACTGCACTGGTTTTTCTATTTACAAGTATTATTTATTGTAAGAGAGCTTTAAAAATGTGGTTCTGTCCAGCCCCCAGCTGCAGTTTGGACTGGCGCAGTCCATTCTACTGTCTGTTGTACAAACAGACCTGGTCTTTGAAATTATTCTGTCTATTTGATAGTATAGCGAGTCCACCCATAAGTAGAATAGTTCTTTTTCCAGCCATGTGTTCAAAGTCCTCTTTCTCATTTCTAAAGGTGGTGCATTGGATGAAGAACGCTCAGGGTTCCCAGCTTTTAGTGGGATTGCTCGCCTGACTTGGCTAGTTGATCTATTTGGGGACCTCACTGTTGTCTCTGCCACAAGGGAAGAGCAGAAAGAGAGAAATTACTCCAGAATGACTGCACAGTTTCAGACTGCAAAAAATAGGTTGGTATAATTGAATTCTAGAAAATGTTGATTAACCACAATAATATTTCTCCTGCTGGCTTACTTGGGTGACATGTGGCACTGTGGGTGCCAACATCCCTCAACCAAAATAATCTCTGCTCAGGCAATCTAAATTTTGCACCAAGAAAAGGACGAGGCAGGAGCAAATTAGCTGTGAGCATCTCTCTAGGAGCTCATATGCTTGGGTATATGCTACGGCATAATTTGGCTTTGTGCAATGTGCAAACCAGACCAATATCTGTTTAATTTACAAACCACTGTCGCATATGCTCAAGGTAGTGTACAACAAAACAAAACCATAATATTGAAATGAACACAATAAACAGTTTACACTTTCAATCTATAATACTGCCCTAGTCTCAATAAATTATTTCCTCTGCATCTGTGACATAGGGCAAGACCACAATTGGACAGGCATTTGCTGGGAATCATGAAATGGTTTTGCTTTGATATCCTGGGTCATATTTTCAGAACTGGAACCAGTTGTAATTGCTCCTACAAGTCGAATTTGCCATTGTCTTCCTACTTTTCTAGGTAGCATGTGGCCTGGTTTGTTACCTGCGCTGACAACCACCTTTGTTCTACTAGGCTTATCACATGTTGTGTGCACCTCTGCCATGTGTATCCCAGTAGCTTTTGTCTTTGGTGTAGTCATTCGTCTAAGATTAATCTGCTGGGAATGGTAGCATTGCATAACAGTCTAACTATGTTGGCTAGCATCATATCCTAGCTCCACTGGCAAAAATCTCTCATGGAGCTGGAGCCAAGGTCTCTCTCCAAAAAGGTCACTTAAACTGCCCGTGGCTCAGCAGCAGCATGGCTCCCAAAAAAGTAAGCCCTTTATCAAATAGCATAGATGGGAGTTTGTAACTCTGAGCAGACAGTGTTTTAACTTCTGAAAAAGAGCACGACTGATTCCGGTCCACTTGAAGATAATGCTATATTCTCTGCCACCTCACAAATGTATATTAGCTGGCTGTGCTGAGGAGGACTCTGAATAGTGCTAGACTTGGAGTCCTTTTTCTATCTGTATGTCCTGGGCCAGGGCTGTAAGCAGCCCACCGCCGCCACCCCCATTCTGTCCGAAAGAAAAACAAAGGGGAAGCGACGAAAGGCATTCTCCCTCAGAAGATGTAACAAGGAGTGCCTGCACACGTGTTTTCTGCAAATGACCAAACAGATGATGCAAGGAGAGTCCAGGTCTTCCATCAATATTTGTGGCAGCAAAACAGAGTTAGCAACTATGCTGACTGGTTGAAAAGCCGCCACTGCTGAGGGTTTGGTTTCACTGAGTATTTGGACAGCTGTTTACACAGAGCCGTCAGTATTAAATCTTGTTACTTGTTCTGTCATCTATTATAGAAGAGTGGAACCTGCAACAAAACGTTGCAGTTTATCCTCACCTCCTTGTAGGAGTGCTCTTGTTCAGGATTCCTGCCAGCCATTTCATTTCATACAAAACATTTCAGGTCCACACATTTACTTGTTTTTCTTTTCCAGCTGACAGTCAATATTGTTTGGCTCTTGAGCACATTCATTTTTCTGTGGACATGTTTGTGTGTGTTTAATGTTTGTTCTCTTTTAGTTTTGCAAGACATGAGATTTCCCTAAGCATGCTAATACCTTCCTCTTAGTGGCCTCATTTGGCCTACAATCCTGTTGCCACTTGCTACCTGAGATCACTATTAGGAGTGGCAACTAGCCTGTGTAGCCCGGCCTCAGGTGTCCAGGATTTAACCAGCCAACATAACGTCTGGGGAGAATTCTGGAAAAATGTCCGGGATTTTTAGGTTGATTACCTAAAAAAAGTTCAACAACTTTGAATTTCGTTAAAAATGCTCAACAACTTTTGTGTCCTGAATTTTACTTCTAGAAATATGACAGCCCTAGGTATAGCAGCGCAGAAATGAGTTACAATCAAGCTTCTCTCATTTGGGGAATGAAACTTCTCAGGTTGGGGATTGGGAAGGCTGCTGGGTAAAATCAGACATATGGCAAGAGACAGGAGGCAGCTGTGAACTGCTGGCAAGTGATAAAGCAAGAAGACTGGGGAACATTGACTAGAGAGCCAAGGCTTGTTAGATCTGGGCTTGAGAATCTGGCAGGGCAATTATGCCAGGTGTGTCTTCTCTTGATGTTGCGACATTGTGATCCTGCAACCCAAAGGGGACAAGAAGGGTCAGAAAAGCAGAGGGGAGAGGTAGGGGTTAATTTCACGGATTGAATTGGAAAGCTGCAGCCTTCAGTAAAATGCAGTAATTTGGTAACTTTTCACAAAAGATAAAGAACACCAGCAGGTGGTGCTAGAAGTGGCAGCAAGTGTTCAAATAATTTTAAAAAATTGTCCAGTAGCACCTTATAGACCAAGTAAGTTTGTTCTGGTATAAGCTTTCGTGTGCTTCTCCAGTTCAGTTTGCCATTTCCTCTATATGCTTTAATAAGCTGCAAGTTATTTTTCAATGTATGTCTTCATAATTTGCTGCATGTACAGAACCACCTGCAGCCAGCTTGCTTAGGATGGGGAAATTCCCTGTGTTGTCTTTTCAAAGCCAAAGGCATCTGTGCAAGCCGCTTCTGGGTGTCATGCAACCCTTTTAGCATTTGGCTGCTCTGCACAGTGTTCCAGGTCTGTTCCCTTCCTGGGCCAGGCTTCCCAGTGATGCAGTTCCATTGACATGGGTGGATTTGCATGAGCTGAATGTTTGGCCCACTCTCATTTATGTCTGAGTTGGTTTTAAGTGTGGGCTGGATGTGGACAGACTCAGTAAGTCTTTGCTGGAATAGAGAAATAGAGCATTTCTGACACATCCCTGAATTGGCTGTGAGTTAGGCAGAACTACTCTTGATGTCCTTCTGGGTACCTTGAGTAGCAAAAAATGGGGTCAGAAATGCAGCCTGAGTCTTAACACAAGTTTTTTGTCAATTTGTTCTTAGCTTTTGTTATCTCTGAAATGTTATTAATGAGGAAGATGAGAGTGGTTTATTAAAAACCTGCTTGAACTTTATGTAGCCATTTTACTGCATTTTTAGTATATAAAAACAATTAAAACAACAACTCCTCCCTATATGAGCGCTTTGTGGCCTTTGCCACCGGAGAGCGTTCCCCAAGTGTTAAACTAAGATTTGAGCATTTCTGATGTTTTATTACAAGTGTCGACATAGCATTATAATATGCCAGCAAAGCAAAATGTATTTCTCATACCATTACAAGCAATAATTATTTTGGGTTTACTTACAGAAAACCTGTGACCCACTTGCAGAGCCTTCAGGGCCCACTTGCAGGTGGTGACCCACAGCCTGGGAAGCGCTGTGCTAGAGAATAGCACTTAATATTGGAGGGGACTTTCTGACCTCCGCGACACACTTTTGGCTTATTATGAGGTCTTCATTTGCAGCCAGCCTCTGAGATGGTTGACTGGGTTTCCCCTTCCTTTTCCGTCTCCTTTAACCAGGCCCCTGACTTGGATTGAAGAAAGGGCACCCGGGATGAAGCGGGACAAGGCCATCAACTTCTGCTTCACAAGCGGGTGCTTGGAGAGTCTTCCCGAGGCCCCCCGCTCACAAGTTGGCATCTTCATGCAAGACCTGATCCTCTTTGCCAAAAAGCTTTTGGGCCAGGCCTCCCAAGAGGAAGTGCTGGCTGAGAAGAGGCGGATTCTGCTGTGTCTCGACCTTGCCGAAGAGATTCAAAGGCTCTGTGAGCGGCCAGCAAACATCTACTCTTGAAACTGCTTGGGAGTCGGGGGCTGGGCTGCTTAGAACTGCTGCTGCTGCTGCTGCTGCTGCTGCTGCTCCTCCTCCTCCTCCGGAAATGGTTCTTTCTTCCATTCCCTTCTAACTTTCCAGACACTCCATTGTGACCAGTAAGACTTTTCTAACAATTTTGGGCCAGTCCAGGTTTCCCATGTCCTTTACAGGTTTGATTTAACCTGGCAAAAGTGAACAGTGTACCACTTTTGGCTTGCCTTAGTGAAGGAGTTGGCAAAATGTAGCCTTCCAGCCCTTCGGACCTTCTTTTCTTTCCCCAGGACATACCTTCTCCCTGGCCATATTCCTTCACCCCTGACTGGCCTGGCTTTGTGCCCTCCATGAGTGCTTTTGCCTGGGTAGAATGTGCTCTTGAAGTCTGGTAATATACTTCTTGCTTTGCTTGGGTGGAAGACAAGAGGTGTAGGCACATCTGTTGCCTGCTGTTCAGAGGTAAAATACATTTATTCGCTTCCTCTACTTTACCTTTGGCCCTGCCCACCACTGGCATGGGTCTCTTCTCTGAAAGCACCTTCTGACAACAGAACTACAGATAGAGAAAATGACAGCCCTATGTTGCGTTTCCTGCCCTAATCTACAGAATGTTTAGTTGGACTTAATCTGTGTTGTCTCTTCAGCCCACCTGTCTCTTTGGCTGTTGCTGGGAGGGCTGAGGAAAAGATCCTCAAAAATCTTGCTCTGCGTTACTGGAAGCAAGAGAACTTTCTATGTGGCTGCTATTTCCTGTATCGTGTTTAGTTCTCACCCATATTAACTAGCTGACAGACAGGTATAGGAGCTGCAGAACTACTTCCATGAACTTATGGCTCAGTTTTAACATGGCTGGAGTTAAAAATCTGCCCTCCAACTGGGTTTTACACTTAATTGCCTTATGCTGAATTGGAACTTGAGATTTCAGACCTCATGCTTTGATCCAGCTCCTTTCTGAGACTGATTCCGTCTTAACCTGCCATAAAGCAAGTGGGTCTACTCTATTTTTGTGAGGAGAGTGCCTCCACATGGTGGTAGTGATCATAGCAGGTGAACTGCTTGTTCTCAGGCTGTTCTAATATAAATACCAGTTGTCACCATGTAGAGGCATATTTGTGAGAATCACCACACAAAGTGGGTCAAGTTAGCCTTGCGATGCTTCTGCTACATCTTGTATTTGGAGTGGCTCTTGGTCATTTTCCTGTCCCTAGAAACGCACAATAAACTCTGCTAATATTCAGTTTTAATTTGAATATATGCGGGGGGGGGGGGAGTCTGAGAAGACATACAAAACCCATTTGAAGTGTTAGAAATGATAGATTCACAGTGACTGCATAGCAAGCAATCTCGCCTGGATCTAAAAATTGATTTGCATAACGTAGACCTGAAATTATTTTTGGTTATATACAGTAGCTATAGAAAGTACAAGAAAGAGGTTCATTCTCAAAAGTATACTGAAAGATGATTGTATACTGAAACTTCTGAGGATTATGCCTTTCATTTAGCACAGTGCTGTGTTATTTCTGCCCATTATAGTCTTGCATCTATTTTGAAACGGCAAAACATCTCAAGCGCTATCGTCAAAGTAAGATTTTTGGAAAGTCAATTGTTCTATTTCACTTGGGACTCTCTAAATAAGATGGCATTTCAGGATCCTTTCCGTAGTTCCAATCAATTCAGCCATTTATAATTACTGCTATGTTCTTGTAAACACTGACTCGCAAATAGGAGCCTAAATTTATATTCATTTTAAAAATGGAAGAAAACTTCCCAATATTGGGCTTGAAATGCTTGTGGTCACAAGATGGAAATTTGTGCAAACAAGATACTGTTCTGTGTCTCAATAGAATCATAGAATTGCAGAATTGAGAGTCATCAAGTCCAAACCCCTGCAATCCATGAATCCAAACATAGGGTCCCCCATCCAAAATGAAACCATACTATACCCCTGCTTGGCTTTTGCAAATGTGCCGGGGGGGGGGTTGCTGCATGTAGGTGTTCTGTGGCATTTATTGACTTATCAATAAAACAGCACCGCATCTTTGTGAAGGGAGCAAGGTTGGTTGTTTTGCTTCTGTCAAGTCCCTGTGGCTGATTGTGAGACTGGCATGCAAAGAGACTGGCATGTGCAGAACAAAACTATTTGCACTTGGGAGTGCTACACCAAAACTGCCTCTCAGCTGCTTTGCTGAATGCTTTTGGTGCTAGTTTTGCCTGCCCCTGCCATATTGCTTTGCTTCTGATGAGGGCCAATCCAATGTTATATTGCCTGAAGCAAAACCAACCAACCCAATGGCATCCACTCTCCATTGATTATTATGGGGTACAGTTGCTGGGAAACTCTACTGTGCAATAGCCTTACTGTACCCTGAAGGATTGATCTGTCTGTCGCCCAAGTCTGCTGCCTTGTGGTCAGGACACTGCTGTTTCTAACTTAAGGAAAAGCCTGCCTAAATTGTAGTACATGTGACCCTTAAAAGTACTTTTACTGCAAATTCTGTGGCTGGACTATCACTGGCTCCTCTCTTTACTCATAGAAATGGTCTAGAGGTGTACAGTGAGTGACATGAAAAATTGAGGAGGACCATAGATCTGGGCTGCAACATATTCTGTAATCTTGAAACTCTCTTTTGGAGATAACAGAATTTCCCCTATATGCTGCTGCTTACAGTGTTTTGTTCATGCTAGCAGACAATTCTTTTTTTAATGGCCAAAATTCTATAAACTGCCCCTTAGTGTAAACTTTATAGGGCCAAAATTATTGTTATTATTTATTTAATTTAATTTCCATACCGCCCTGTACCTGAAGGTCTCAGGGTGGTTCACATAAAATGAAAGCCATTGGCCCGAATCAAAGGGAGCTGGGAATTTTCACGATATAGAAATATCTTCCCATTCCCCTGCCCCTCGCAGGGAAGTGAAGAAAGTCAGTTGTTGCCTTGGAGTTTTGGTATTACTTACATGGGAAAGTGTAGTGCATTTGAGTTGGATCCAGAGTAAGGCTGAAAATCCTATACCCAGTTACCAGGGAGTAAACTCTATTGAATTTAGTAGGATTCAAAGAAAACATGTATAGGATTACACTGTTTGTTAGTTCAACATGAGTGCCATTTAAACAATCAGGACAAGTTCATAATGACTTAACTCTTACTGATTTCTCTTGGAAGAAAGTTCTGTTAACTCACTCTGGATCCAGCCCCTTGTTTTTTGAAAAAATACTGCAGTTTTTACAAACAAAGGGCCTTTTTATTTTAATTTTTAAGACACAGTATATATAACTGATTTTTTTTAAAGAGAGAGTGAGAGAGAGAAATCACTCACATTCTGTGATCTTCAAAGATGGCACCTAAATGCTATCATATGCATGTTCACTCAGAAGTAAGTCACATTTATCTGGGAGTAAAACCCATTGATTTATGGAGGGCTTATTTCTGTAGACATACATAGGATTGCATTGGAAGCAATGCTAGACAAGAGTTAAGTGGAATGTTGTTGCTGCAGTTATCTTTGTCCAGTTTAACTATATTTTATTGCTGATATGAATGGAACTGAAGGAGGCAAATTGTTGGTCATTGTATGCCTTTAGTGGCCGCCTCAGTTTTTTGTGTTCAGAAACGCCTCTGTTTCCTTGGAACCCTTTATGTGATGCACTGAAATGCCTTGATGCATGCCTCAGAAACATGATGTTGTTGATACATTGTGCTATAAAGTATGCTGGTGATTATTGTATGTGCTGCCTTGACTTTAATAAAGACATCTGAGCTCAATTTACTCTTTCATCGTTTTGTTTTCCTTCCTTCATTTCTCCTCCCCGCAATCTGGTCATCTGGTGAGTCTTGCTTTAAAAGTGCTAATGCTCTAAATTGCGGGACAATTTTCCTCTATGCTTAACGGAGAACCCCACTGACTTAAATCATAGTCCTATGTACCGTGCAATACTAAACATGGTGTATGTACTGTACCTTTCCCAAGTACCTGTGTCTGACTCTGAAAATACAGGTGTTAATCCTGTTTAGAGAGAATCTGCATGTTTCATAAGGGTCCCGAGATGTACCGTATTTTTCGCTCTATAAGATGTACCTGACCATAAGACGCACCCAGTTTTAGAGGAGGAGAACAAGAAAGAAAATACTCTCTCCCTCTCTGCGCTGCGCCTCTCCGGCAAAGCAGGAGAAAGGGCAGGGGCTCCGTTTCTCCTCCCGCTTCGCTGAAGGGGCGCTGCGCAGCTTTGCCTCTCCAGCAAAGCGAAGTCAGAAGAGCAAGAGGGATCGCTGCGCAGCAAAAGCAGCGATCCCTCTTGCTCTCCTGGCTTCAGTGATAGCTGCCCAGCCTGCATTCGCTACATAAGACGCAAACACATTTCCCCTTACTTTTTAGGAGGGAAAAGGTGAGTCTTATAGAGTGAAAAATACGGTATGCTGTTTTATAGGCCAAAACCAGCATCTTGAATTGGGCTTGGAAACAAACTCTGATGCCTCTTGCTTGTCAGGACAGATGAGTATGTATAAAAGGTAGGTTACCTACAAGCGTAAAATTTTTGTCTTTTGTCCTGTTTGCCACTGGCTTGTTCCTCAGTCCATCCCATTCTCTATGCCTTAATTAATATATAGGATTCTTCCTGTTCCTCCACTTGTCTCTTCAGTTAGACTTAAAACAGTAGGAAAATAATACACACGGGTGGTAGTCAACTAAATTTTACTCAGAGTAGGCCTGCTGAAATTAATGGACCTAATTCAGTCATGTTCATTAATTTTAATGAGCCTGTTCTGAATAAAGTTTCTTGAATACCATCCAATAAGTGTGGGATGTAATCCATTGGTGCAGTCAAAGGCAACATGTCTCATTCCCCTCGCGTGGGCACAGGCAGGGGGACATCCAGTCAGTGTAACTTCCTCTTCCACTGGTCTGGAGCATCCTCCCCCTGCATGTGACCGGGGAGATGGGCATGGCCCTGCCTGACTCCATAAAACAGCCAAGTCACACAGCCATTTTCTCAGCTGTGGTTTTTCTCTTGTCTTGCTTGCTGCCATGCTGCTCTCCTGAAGCCCTTTTGTTCAGTCTTAATGTAATTTTGTTGTCTGCTGGCTCTCAGCCAGCAGCACATGAGTCCAGTCTCCATATGAGATGAACTCACGGTTTGTTTATGTAACTAACAAGTAAAGCCTGCCTTTCAGGGATCAAATTGTGAACTGAAATGTGAGTAAACTTTTTGTTGCTTTACTCAGAAGACTCGTGTCTTTCTTTTAAGAGGGATTTTTGTATAGGATTACACTGTTTGTTAGTTCAACATGAGTGCCATTTAAACAATCAGGACAAGTTCATAATGACTTAACTCTTACTGATTTCTCTTGGAAGAAAGTTCTGTTAACTCACTCTGGATCCAGCCCCTTGTTTTTTGAAAAAATACTGCAGTTTTTACAAACAAAGGGCCTGTTTATTTTAATTTTTAAGACACAGTATATATAACTGATTTTTTTTAAGAGAGAGAGAGAGAGAAATCACTCACATTCTGTGATCTTCAAAGATAGCACCTAAATGCTATCATATGCATGTTCACTCAGAAGTAAGTCACATTTATCTGGGAGTAAAACCCATTGATTTATGGAGGGCTTATTTCTGTAGACATACATAGGATTGCATTGGAAGCAATGCTAGACAAGAGTTAAGTGGAATGTTGTTGCTGCAGTTATCTTTGTCCAGTTTAACTATATTTTATTGCTGATATGAATGGACACCCTTAAGTGGGACACCCTTTAATCCTTTAATTAGGTCCCTTTACTTAGGGACCGCTTACCAGCGGGAAGGTAAACAGCGTTCCGTGTGCTGCGCTGGTTCACCAGATGCAGCTTTGTCACGCTGGCCACGTGACCCGGAAGTGTCTCCGGACAGCGCTGGCCCCCGGCCTCTAGAGTGAGATGGGCGCACAACCCTAGAGTCTGTCAAGACTGGCCCGTACGGGCAGGGGTACCTTTACCTTTAAAGGGGACACCAGGAAATAAACTTAACTAAGAGATTCAAACGAATCTGTAAACTAGCTTCCAGCTATATTGAGAGGAATCTCCTCTGCTACGTCACTTACTAACGTGAGTGAAGGAAGGATAGTATTCATTCAGCATATGCTTTCCTACTATCCTTAACATTCCTACTTTAAGTCTAATTGAAGAGACAATTCCCCCGTATTCACTTTCGTCAACAGTTCATTCTTCTTATGTGCTTTAACTTACATTTGTATATCTAATGTTGTCCTGTGTACTTTGATACGAACTGTAATAAGCTGCAGCTTTAAAAAATGGTAATCCTCTCAAAATGGCCTCCCACCCGCAGAACTGGTCCAATTAGATTCATCATCTGATCTAATTGGTCTCTGTCAGGCCGTCCCGTCCCCCTTGTCCCTGAATTATTTATCACAGAGAAAATGGCATTGCCCTTTCCTTTTGGTGTCTTTCTAGAGTCCATCAGCTTTGACCTGAAGGATTACCCATTAGGGAATATTGGGTCAGTGAATTTCCATACAAATTGGATTTTTGCGTCCCTGCTGGGACCATGTGTTGTCAGCTGTGGTGATTTATGTTTTTCCATGTAAAAACTGCTCTCAACAACTGGGCAGACTTCAAACCTCAGATTGTAATTATTTTGGATCACGTCAGACTTGGTTGGATTAGGAGTTTCAGGGCTGGATATCAAGCACGGATCAGTATTCCATTTCCATTGTCTCCAACCAGGGATGTCCTTTTTGCAAGGAAAGGGGTGACAACAACAACAACAACAACAACAACAACAACAACAATATTTATACCCCGCCCATCTGGGCAGCTCCCAACAGAAAAATAAATAAATAAATAAGTGATAAAACATCAAACATTAAAAACTTCCTTAACTTAGATAAAGTCAGATAATTGTTATTTCCTTGACATCTGATGGGAGGGCTTTCCACAGGGTGGGTACCACTACCAAGAAGGCCCTCTGCCTGGTTCCCTGTAGCTTCTCTTTTCGCAGTGGTGACAAAGAGACCATTTGTTCTTGTTGGCTTTCTATATCTTGGAGGCGGAAGGGGTGGTTTTGTTACTGATTCTTGCTCCCATCTAGTACTTCAACAAAGCTGTCTAGTGTGTTTATGATGATCATCTATCTAGAACATGGGTAGGCAAACTAAGGCCTGGGGGCCGGATCCGGCCCAATCGCCTTCTAAATCTGGCCCACGGACAATCTGGGAATCAGCGTGTTTTTACATGAGTAGAATGTGTCCTTTTATTTAAAATGCATCTCTGGGTTATTTGTGGGCATAGGAATTCGTTCATTTTCCCCCCTTCAAAATATAGTCTAGTCCCCCACAAGGTCTGAGGGACAGTGGACTGGCTCACTGCTGAAAAAGTTTGCTGACCCCTGATCTAGAACAGGGTAGCCAACCTGGTCCCCTTGAGCTGCTACTGGCTTCCAGCTCCCACCATCCTGGGAGTTGGGGTACCAGCAACATCTAGATGGCAGCAACTTGGCTAACCTTGGGTCTCCAGATGTTGTTGGACTACAACTCCTATCATCCCTGACCAATGGTCCTGCTAGCTAGGGATGGTGGGAGTTGTAGGGCAACAACATGTGGGACTCCAAAGCTGAGAGAAAGGCTGATCTAGCGTTCACACATCAAGTTATTTCCTGTTAAGAGAGCTCGTGCTTTCCATAACAGGAGTTTTCATCTTAATGTAATTTATACACTCAGCACAGCTTTTCTGGCTATCATCCAAACAGTCATTCCATTACCAACAGTCAGGAAACAGGATTTTTAAAAATGAATGCTTTTAAATATGAAACACAGAAAATAGAACATGAGCTCTAATGGAACTCAGCTGATGAACGCTTATAGGAATGTGGCCAAAAGGGCGGCTGCTGTGGAACAGAAGGGAACTGTTGGCATGCTGAAGGAGAACTCCCCCCACCTCCAAGGATTACAGAAGTACAGAAAATATTTGGGGGGGGGCGACTAACAGTCCAAAGAGAACTGAGCATGCTCAGTGGTCATTAAATCCTGGATGTCTGTTGCAAGGAAAACCAGAACAGTAACGAGGAGGAGGAACAGAATCGGAAATTCCAGGAAGATGCTGGCTGGTTGGAAATTTGAACAGAAACACTGCCATGTTGTGTCACAGTTGTGTCACAATTTGTATAATAATCAAACCAGATTGTCAGTGCAGGCATAGATGGAAAGACTTCAGTGCGCCATAATAAATTAAGAGAAATATTTCAGACTGCATTAGGGAAAGCCTTCAAAACAGCTGCGTTCTCTACTTCAACTATTCTCTTCTTCCTAACAAACTTCCTTCATTTTAAGAAGTGGGTTTTTTTAATACAATCTCCTAGTGTGTGGGTGTGTTCTGATTTAGAAACAGATACAGTGGTACCTCGGGTTAAGTACTTAATTCGTTCCGGAGGTCCATTCTTAACCTGAAACTGTTCTTAACCTGAAGCACCACTTCAGCTAATGGGGCCTCCTGCTGTCACTGTGCCACTGGCGTGCGATTTCTGTTCTCATCCTGAAGCAAAGTTCTTAACCCGAGGTAGTATTTCTGGGTTAGCGGAGTCTGTAACCTGAAGCATATGTAACCTGAAGCGTATGTAACCTGAGGTACCACTGTATATATAAAATTATGCCACCAGCATGGGCTATCTTTGAGGGTGGTACTGAGGCAGAACCCATTGGATCTTGCAGATCCAAAACCAGTGTGCAGTGGCTTTTGGCAATTCTGGGACTTGAGTCCACAATCAAAACAGTACAAAAC